TGTGCTCTTAACGTGTCTAATAACATCCAAACACACAAACCTTGCCTAAAATGGTACCTATTTTGACAAATTATATGCAGTTTGGTCTATATTACGGACCGTGGCTCACTGGGTTGGTAACATTATTGAAAGTAACACGATATTTTGGCTGTAAGAGTAAATACTATTTAAGCAGCTACTGTCATGACAGAAAGGTCATATTCCTTTTAAATCCTTTATACGATACGTTGATTAACAATGCATGTAAATGTCAATATTTACGTAACAGACAATTTACAGTTTTTCGCTTAGGATATGCCACATTGCTATTTCATTTACATTATTTGTTGCCAATGAAGCTACACGACCATATAAACGAGGAGGCAACTAACCGTCGATTTCGACGGGTTTCACCTAGTATAAAATAAATCCTGATGACTCCGCTCAATGTTGTGGATGCCTCTGCGAATGCTACCTAGTTTATTTAATACTAGAGAACCCGCGCGGCTCAATGAGCCGCATAGCATGAAACATAGCGCCGAACAAAGCGTTAAGCTCATATTCGAGTAATTCTAGTTACATCTTAGAGTTACACTTGTTAGAAACTAATTATAAATATCTGTATTTGCGTCGTCAAGGTTCGCCTACATTATTTCTCCTCTCAGTTTTATACTGATAACTTCTAATAAATGCTAAACGATCTGCTTCAGTTCGAGTTAACATGTCGCAACAAAGTTATCACAGCATTGAGAATAAAAATTAAAAAAAAAACTGTTGCCTCACTGATAACCTGTGTTAAGTAATTTAAGTTGGGCCATTTTATTTCTTTGAATTGAGGCATCCCCTTGATCAAACGAATTTTCTCCGTAGAGAATCCTGAAAAGTGGGGTGATGGTGATATCAACCCTTTCATGTGCTCCATTTTTTACCCACAAACTCTGGGTTACCAACTGGACAGCCATAATCTGCTTTGAATAGGCTAAAGTAACAACACTATTGAAAGTTGCTTAAACGACCCATTTGCGTTTTTTTTCAATTGAGGTAGAGTGAGTAATTCTAAAGTTTACAATAAAGACATAAGGTCCGCCAAGATTTGGTATAATCTAACTTGAACTTATCACAGTCAAGGCATTATTATGGTTTCGTAAATGTTTGAAATATCTCGATCTGTTAGTGTCAGAAGTAAAACATTTCTTGTATGCATTAATTTGATCTGACATTAAGCAAGTTAACTTTACCACCAAGACAACACTATGTGCTTCGTATGTTTTTCACTTCTAAAGTAAGTTGCATAGCATAACTGGCATATATCTTACCAAGTAAATGTGTATCTGGATGAGTATCTGTTAGAGCAGGCCTATTCTACTCTCCTCATACAGATAAGATATTTTATTATTAATTGTCTCCTCCTACCGTTATAAATATTTCTTATTTGAACTTGAGGCATTTCTGTTCTTCCAACAAAACTGACTAACCTTTTACTAACCTTTTAACTTCGTCTTAATCTACTGAATATTACAATTGCTATTTACATTACAAGTGTAGTAAGAGCGTTTTTACATCACGCAGGTGAATGTCTCTGTCTTAATATGATATAGAAGCTTGAAATATATTTTACCTAACCCGCCATGTTAAACTTCCCTATCCCAAGCGTGATGTATATAACTTCGTTACTTCTCGAGTGATGTAAAGTTGAAAAAAACTCACTCGGTGATGTAATGAAACCCATTTATAGCTATTTACATTACAAGTGTAGTAAGAGCGTTTTTACTTCACGCAGGTGAATGTTGTGCAACGAGCGAATGCGAGTTGCATAATTCACCTAAGTGATGTAAACACGCTCTTGCGTAACGTGTAACGTACAAGATTTTACCTGACCCGAAAATATACAGGGGGTTACGTTCAATATTTTGTATTATCCATTTCACTCATCTTCTAACAGTAAGGTTCTTTTACAAACAAAAGCTAGGTTAGGAAAATTCTTAAATCAACACAATAAAATTCAAGCACACAGCTGATTTCTAGCGTTGAACGTCGAGGTATATTTTTTACCTAACCCGCCATGTTAAACTTCCCTATCCCAAGCGTGATGTATACAACTCCTTCACGAGTGATGTAAAGTTGAAAAACATATAAAACATATTTTATATGAAAAACATATTTCGGATTAGCTGGAGCGGAACCCGAAAGGATTTTTGAGGTAAGAAAATGTCTATACGTTAATCGAGGATGTGAGCTATCATCCTGCCAAATTTCAGCCTGATCCGACAAGTAGTTAATGCGTGATTGAGCTTCAAACGAACAAACAAACACACAAACATTCACATTTATAATATTTAGTACGATTAAAGAAAAGAATAGTATTCATATTTAAAAGGAATTACAGAATTTAGTTAGCTGTTTCAACTAAACTGGTTGGTTCTATGATATTCAATACCATTAAAAATTAAAAGATTTACCAACAGAGTGCAGCACTATTATTATTTATTTTTTTATTTTATGACAACAGTTAATTTGAATTAAGCAGCAACAAAAAGCTGTGATACACAATGAAAATTGCAAAGTAGTATTGTTTACATTTACGTATGCATTTTTCTTTTAATTAATAATTTGCGGTATTGTGCGAATGTTTGAAAATTTACTTTCTTCTATTATTTAGGTACAGTGGTAGAACATTATGTCTATTTTAGATTTGTTATAATAAACGCAAAGCATGAGTATAACTGCAATAAGCATTGTATTCGTGTACGCCAGCCCCGTACGAAGGACGGGTACTCTGCTAGTTTATTTAGTTAAAAGTGATGATACTATCGGAGTGACGGTTTGAGGCGGTGTCAAGTTGTCGGCTGCATCGACGCTAAACCGCCACCTCTCACGCTCGCGTCTAGGTGTCACCCAGACAAGGTGTCACCTCCTCTCTTTGGAGGTGACGACTAGACGCCTTCGTACATGACAACCTGTCACCTCGCACGCTTGCGCCTAGTTGTCACTCCGACTACCTGTCACCTCATTCAAACGGTGACGGGTAGTCGGGAACGATGCGCGACAACGTGTCACCTCAAAACCTGTCTTAAAAGGTGACGGTTGGTCGGGGTGACTGGTTGTCGAGGTGACACGTAGTCGCTGTCCCCTCTAAGTATTATGATAAAAAGTAGCACTAAAGTAATACTTCATTGAACTACATTTACTACACGGATAGTTGTGGAATTTCAGTATTATTCAAGAATTCAAGCATCATACAATGCAACAACCCCAACATATTTGATCAAAAGTTTGCATTAGTAACGTACACGAAAACTAGGACAACCCCTCTTTATCAGACTAGACCAAATACGAAGTTTTATTGTATCTAGATTAGTTGTGTCTTCAATTTACAAATTTACATTGATCGTTGATTGACATTATACATTTGATTGATAACTAATTTGTAAAACTATGTCCAGAGTAAAGGTTTTAAAAGTATGGAAAATATATAAAAAAAATTTGCGTTATTAAAAAAAAAAAAATAAAAATAATAGGCGAAAGGGTGCTTTCAAAGACAAAGTCACATTTTTTACGTCATCCTTAATTAGGTTTTTGCCCGGAATGGATCCAAATTGTTATCATCTTACGTTGCCCGTTTGTTAGATAGACCTACCATCATTGTTTGTCTTGACAAATGTCATCTGGGGTCGGAATTGAACCAGCTTAGGATCGAACTAGTAATCTTCGCATTTGAAGGCGAGCACTGTAACCACCTGACTACCCAGCCAATGATATGGCTAAGAGGGCTAAGAGAAACTGTAACTGCATTACTTAACTGTCGAATAATTAATTAATTGCAATTTGGTTTAAAATTTCAGCTTTATGTAATGATTTAGCTAGATCAGTTGCCCTATATTTTGATAGCTATAAATATTTTTCAGAAGTAATAAACCAGCTAGTCAACTTAAATTCTGCTAGAACTTAACGGAATATATTTCCAAAACTTCCAGCGACAAGTGGTTTCTTAAGCTAATTTAATTTCTTTCTATTTTAATCTTCAGCTTTGCCTGATAGTGTCCAGTATGCCTGGTTGATTGCTGTCTACATACCTATATTATACATATACTGTCTTTTATATAACTATCCCTTACGCATAAGTGTAAAATTCTGTAGTTTCTGAAGACTTTGTATCTTTAAACCATCTTAAATCAAATTTTGTTCTTTTTAGTCAAATTTTCGCCTCATGCAAGCTAGAACGACCAGTCAATGTGTTGTCTCCACTCTTTCTGAGTTATTGTTTTTTTATATACTTTTGCATTATTGTATATCATCGCAATCCAAACAGTTGTGTTATGTGTTAGTCTCGTTTTAATTTGCGGTACAAATTGTGTATACCGTAGGAATACAATAAAATAAGAAGTATATACTATATATGTAGAGTAGGATAACTCGTACAATGATTTTAAAGAAGATATTTGAATAGAAGATGCTAGCTTTTGATAGATAATTGAATATAAAATTAAGTACTTTAAGAAATAAATTTATTATTCAATGAATATTAAATTAAAAACTTGGCGGGGATTCAAGCACATGGCAATACATTTAACAAAGTCGACCCTGCACTGTCCCGTTTTAGTGGTTTGTTCTACATATGTGTGGAGGTAGGTAATATAATCTATTCCTACAGTAGTAGTAATTTCATTTATATTTTACTTAATAATTACTATAGGGTTTAAGTAGTAATATACTATTATTTTTAGAAAATGGATGGACCCATATGCTATAAATCTACCCTATGTTACCATTATTTGTGCTTATTCACATTTATCGTAAAAACTTATTACCTTACCTAGATATGAATTATCACTTTTTTAGAATTTTATAAGTAGCTGACTAAAGTGTAAAATGGGAAGGAATTTTGTTGTTTCTACGTTATAATACTTGCACGAAAATGTATTTGGGATTCACAATTAAATGAAAATAAATACTCAAAGTATTTTCTCCTAAACAACATGGGGAAAGAGGAAAGAAAGATGAATTTAAACACTCAACAACGTTCTTTCAAAGTTTTACAGGTACACAGAATTGAATATTACTCTGCTACCACACAAACTTTCCTCAATAAGATCCTAAAAGTTGACACAGTGGATGTTTATCAGTATAATTATGAAACACAGTTTTAGCGGGAAAATTGAACTTGAAATCCGGGCAAGGTGAACGCCTCACCCTGTGTAATCCTGTGACAAACACATTTCCCAGGAACCTATTCTTTTGGAAAAACTCCGCACTAAAGTTTTGTATAAAGCTCACAACATAATCGTTAGAAAAGTTGAAACTTATATCAGGACTATCTAAAAACGCGTCATAATCGTCTACCAGTGCAAAAATTGGCTTTTGAAAATGTATGTACAAAAGTTCACAAAGCCGGGTAAATTTCTGGATCATGTAACTCGGGCCGTATTTGATGTTGCTCTTTTCCATCAATTCTTCAAAGTGGCTCTTCTCATGTTTGCCTATCCAGATGTTCCTCTCGTGTAGCAGGTAGCGATGTTTAGTGTGGGCTTCTCTCAGCCATTTCTTGAAGATCTCCAGCACATCGTAATGGGACACTATCTTACTGAGTGGCTGGAAGTCGAAGAGGATTACGGGATACCTCCCGAAGTGTTTCTCCACAACATCTTGGTGTTTGAATATTTCCAGATTGTGTTTTTGGAACGCCATGTAGTTTTCTGTCGTGTTAGGGCTCAAAGGACGGCCTTGGTCATCTGGCTGGATCTCGACGAATCTTCTGATCATGTCTATGGCTGTAGACTTCCCACTCCTGTGGGGCCCTCGTAGCACTACATTGCAGTCCGTTCCTTCCAGAAAGTCTTTGATGAACGCTGATTTGTCAACGAATGAATCTTTCTTGACTACCTCTAAGAAATCTGATTCTTGATTGTAATCTCCCTGTGGAAGTAGGAACGTATTAGTGAGGTTAGTAAACAACTGATTGTGATGTTCAATGGAAATATTTAGGAATCATAAAACTCTTGACAACTTATAGACATAGGCTAAAGGTTTCAATATGAATTGTAGTTGTTTCGTACAAGAAATAACTGCTATTAGTTTTTTTTATTGTCTGTAACAGAACTTTATTCAAAAAAGTTTGAACAAAAATTAAACAAAATAACCAGAAATATTCCATAATATAGTCAAGTTTGTTAGAAATATCACTCTTTTTTGTATATAGATAGCAACCAATTTTGAACACACGTTGTTCTTCCTTCGTGATTGTATATATTTTAATCATTTACTTCCAATTTGCAGAGAATAATAATCGGGAAACTTTATTTTTTACTGCAAACAAGCAAGTATATCGATATGAGACATATACATGTTTTTATTCTTTCGGAAAAGAGTGCTCGAGTGCTATAAACAACAACATGCTGTTAAAACAAAGTAGTTACAATCTAAAATTCGACCCACTTAACTAAAAAATGTATCAAAAAGTAATAGATAAAAGCAATTAACAATACAATGCAATACCTGAATAGTTGTGTAGGTAAGAATGAAACAAACAACTAAAGTTGCAACTCTTGACGCAAACATAGTTCCTGTAAAAGCTCACAATCTTTTACTTGTTGACAATGTTGAGTCAACAGTTCCATTTCACACATGTAATATATCCACCAATCCACGCTGTGGTCATACAATTTAGTTTGGATATCATTGTAAACATATTGTTAAACGCTAACACGACTGTGTGAACTGAACATTAAAATTACATCAAGATCTTGATAAGATTACCGGCTTCCAATCTTCAATCTTCACGTGTCTTCTGGTGATTAACCTCATACAATGCAATTCACTTTGCGTTTTCATGAATATTTATATCATAAACGGTAATGAGGATGTAATGAGATCGATGAATACTAAATGTTGTTTACTTTTTATTAAGTAAGTGTTAATATATTAATAACGTATAGCAGTTTTAATTGAAATAAATATTTCTTTGTTATTTGAGATAAGATTAAACTATTTATTTTTTATTTTTGATAAGCTCAATCTGGATCATAAAAACTAACTCCAAGCATTATTAGTATTATTATTAGCATTAATTTTATTATTATTAGTATTACTATTAGTATTACAGTAGCATTATTAGTATGTAATGTCCTTTGGTTTGGCGAGATTAGCGTTATAGAAAATTAATTTACTCACACACAGTTGAATGGCTTAGTCCGTCATAAAAATTAATTTCAAATTATGAAAAAAACTGACTAATATTAAATCTATGCTTTGCTAGGCTAAAATAAATTTATTTATTTTTCAACCCGAATTTTTTTACTCAAATATGTTTCAATTCTTGACGTAAAACTGGTTTGTTGATGCTGTATTTTAATATATATTTAAATGGTTTATCTTCTTATTTATGTAGATAAAACATGAAAAAATTTTAAATACAGTAACATTAAATTATTTAATAATCATTAAATAAATTTTAATTAATATTAAAAAATGGCTACCACACCCATAGTAAATTTAAGAATAAAGCATAACGTAGTCTAATTGTTATATTATCTAATTTATAATATCTTATTATGTAGATGTTTTATCTATGGTAGAACCTTGTTGATTTACTTTTAGTAATTCAAATCATAAGCCAACTGCCTCCAATATCAGTCTGTTTAGGTGTTTCACAGAGTATCCGAGTGGTAGCAGCACTAGTCGACGTTGACTCAGCAGACCTTGCATTGATTTTCATACAATGTAGGTAATCGTAAGGTTTAGGCTAATCATGTGAGCAAGAGACTACTCTCCTGAAGTAAAAATCAATCGACTGGTGAAAATTGTCATTACTTCGTTAATAAATTGAAGAATAGTGTTTTTAATAAATAATTACAAAAGGGTATTGACTAATTTACTAATAAACTAATTTTCATGGTTGTGTTTTCACAATATGGTATGGGCATAAGCTATTTTTGTTCCTTAAGTATTTGTGGAATTTTACTAAAGAAATCAATAAAAATGTTTAATCAACACCTATAGGTAAACAAATGAATTGCTGAAACGAATTCATTCTGCCAAAGGCTGAAAATCGATTGTTTTTATACTATAAGCCAGATGTATTGATTAAGGTTAAAGTTTGTCAGGGTCAAATAAAGTTACTAAATTGGTGATTAAACGTCTTTCACACAAAGTTTATAATTTATTTTGCCCGTTTGTGAAATGAAGCCTAGCACAATTAAATTAATTTGTAGCCTAATATTAAAATTATTATAGGAAATCAAAAACTAGTGAAGGGTTTTCGAATTAAGGACTGTTTCATAGTTCATTGAGAAAAGTGTCAAATTCTATAAACATAAATTTACTGAAACGCCCTTTCCAAACATTTAAAATAATTAAAATAGTATTTAATATTTTAGCGACAGCAACATTTTAATTGAAATTATAAATATTGTTGAATATTTTCAAAACTCTATCGTTTTGAATGTTACAAGCATAATATTGATAGTATCTAATTTTTCTAAGTTTTTAACGATCACGAGTCTATATTATAGGTTTTTAACAGTATTGTAAAAATAAATATTCACGTTTTAACTGTGAACATATTAAAACTGATTAATAAAAAACCATGATGCATAATGCTATTTACCAATTTCATGATGCAGGATAGCCAAGGGGAATTTTACCCTTGCTTTATTTTTTTAATACTTTGATTCTCCCATTGGGCTTAATGATTACCGGCGTGATCATAAAAAATTGTTTGTCATTGCCATTTATATTTCTTTACTGTTCCCGTCCAGTAACATTTTACAGTATAAAATGTAAGCTAATGAATAATATAGAAGAACGTATTTGATTTTAAGAACAACACGTACAACGCTCATACATTGAAATATTTACAGTAATATATTATTACTGTATTTATAAATTATCCTCATTTAGTGTGATTTAGTTATTAATTGATTCAATTTAACGTTGGAAACTTGCTCATTAGCGAAGTTCTGATAATAAAACTCAACCGCACCACTTAACCGGCTGATTGAAACATAGGTTGTGTTGTTGACCCTAAAAGGTAAAGGCTTTTGGTGCAAATGAGGTAAAGCGTTTTTGATGCAAGGCTTCAGTAATATACAGAAACGCCGCAAAATGCTCCTGTAAGAGTCAAACGCTCTGAATTATTAAAATGTGCTCTGTTCTGTAAAATGTGCTTTGTTTGATGTACCAAGATCAGTCTACCGTATTTTGTACTCATTTGTATTTAAAAGCTTTCTCTAATCACAAAAGAATCCTTGAAGTTGTATTTTCAAAAATAATTTAAATAAAAAAAATATAAGTAATATTTGAATCGACCTATAAAACAATTACAAATAGTTTTAGCATACTTATACGGTCAACAGGTTTACACTTGTGTTATAAATGTATTTGCTTTCGTAATATTACAGAGTGTTTTAGTTTCGTATTTCTAAGTTGTTTGTTCAAAGTTGCCTTGGCTTTAGTCCAAAGTGTGCCTAAGCCTAAACGACAGCAGATATTGACCGGGTGACTGAGCTGGCCAAGAGACTTCTCTACCAAAATGTATAAACCTTTGGTGAAAGGGTAATCTTTGCATATAAAACAATCAATAAGTCAATGTATAAAGAGTTCAATTGGAATTAAAGATAATAAAAAATTTTTAGTATATTTTGGAGGGATTAATTTTAATCCATATTGTAACTCTTACCTCAGAGAACTCAGTCTTACAATTCAGTCTAAAAGAAACGTATGAGATGAAAATTTTCATCAAACATAATGTAAATATACATAAGCATTATCAGATTACATATAACTATTATCAGACAAATGAAAATTTTAACAGTAACTAACTTATACATTTTACATATTCTAATTTACTCTAAAACTAATCTTCACCTTTTCCTCAAAAGGCAAGATATACACCTACACGAAACCCGAAACAGGACAAAACTCAATATTCCACAGCACAGATTGGCAAAATTCGGCACATCGCACAAGGCAAATTGTATAAATTCTTTCAACAAACTATACGAATCGGCAAGGACCACCACACTAAAAATTTTCAGAAATAAGTTAACTGCTTGGCTTTTAGACAATCCATTTTATAATATTTATGAATATTTAAATACATGTGTAGAAATTAGTTTCTAGCTGTAGCTTGTAGATTTATGACAACCTGTTTTAATTTAATTTAACTCTATGACAATGCCTATATCATGTATATGATAAACGGCAAATAAACCATTTAATTTCATTTCATTTTAAGCAAAGGAGAGAAGCGTTCATGTTTGGTCAAAGTGTTAAATGTTTGTTAATGGTTCCTCTACAGAGTTCTTATGTTTAATAAGCTATTTAAACATGAAAAACATAATAACTCTTTTAGTTTATTTAAAGGATTTCTGATGTTTTAAAATTTAAACTAGGATACTTTCAGAGAAGTGAAAGCCAGTCGAGTGGAGCGATCACATTTCATGTTTTTTTTTTAATTAAATTTAAATTATCGGTTTGCATCAGAACTATTGTCATATATGTTTATAACAAGTGTCATAGTACAGATGTGGAGATTACATGCATATCCTAGTTTATTTAAAATGTTTGAACTGATGTTTTTTTTTATATAATATCAGTAATTTAAATTTTCCTAACAAACGTAGTTTGTGTTTGTAAAAATATTTAAGCAAATTGTAATAGAATGTTTATTCATTTAAATAATTAATTGGTTTTTAAAATCTATTAAAATTAAGGTTTAAATGTATTCAAATGAATTTGAAGTTAAGTCTTTAAAGTTTAATATTTATAAAATTTAATTAAGTAAATTTCAAAAGATTAAAAGGAAGCGGAGCTCAAACTCATCATTGAATCATGCATTTTGTCGGGTTTTTACAAAATTATCGTTATTCTCTAGTAGCCAGGATTTATAATCTATAGTTCCTAGCTTTAAAAGGAAATTGCATCTACAGTCTTTAAGTCATTAAATACTGTAGATGTATCAAAATTCACTATAATATATCTACTACACTATTTTTGAAATCGGTAGGATTATTCTTTTAGTTTTTTGAAAACTTAATCTATATTTTTAGCAATGCTGTCTAAGATTTATCTATAAACACAGTTCTTAATTAATTAAAAAAAACTGTGTCAACACTATTAATAAATACAATTTTAATAATAACATTTCTTTGTCAATGCATTTTACTGAAAACATTCTGAGATAATGAAATCATAAACATATAAAAAAAAACAGTTTAAAATATCACACAAATGCACTTCTGCCAACTTAAAGTAGGGCATAATGTAATAGCCTAGGTGTATGTCTACTTTGCTGGACGTGTAATCAGCAATGCAACCCAGTTCTGTACTGATGTAATCCAACCACTACAAGACGAGCGCGTGGACATTATTGCCTCTTACCTCCCATAGAGAAAATATTAATATTTGCTCTGCGGCATAATCCACAATGAATCCATAACCAACACTTCACAAATATACCACAAAGTACAGTATATTGTGATAAAAGACATCATAAGAATTGCCCAATCGATTATTATATTAAACTAAATTCCCTTATTTGAGCATGAGTGTTAAAAATGTAGCTAATTTAAAAACGTCTTGTGATTTTCAAATATCAAAACGGATATAATGTTGGATTTTATAATGGGCTTTAAACATTCATGTAACGTTATTTTTTCGGTCCCTACAAAGAATGTATCATAACAAATTTGCCCATTTTGTCAACTTACAAAG